CCCTAATTCTAGTCTTAATAAGAATCCTATGTACGGCCTGTGATGTTAATTCCTTATGTGGTATACCTATCAAGACTTGGGATTTTGGGTCTATATTATTTCTGCCATTTAAACTACTACTCATATTTTTCTTGTAGGCCTTGATAAACTTTTGAATGGATTCTGCTTGGTAGTTATTCAGTAGTATTTTTTCATGTATTTGTTTGATTTTTTAAAATCTAGATTTCCTGACCTACTGGTCAGTCTACTGACTCGTTTACTTAAGCATCTGACTAGGCTTACCTTTAATGATTTTGGGTGAGATGATTCAAAGTCTAAGTGTCTGTCAAAATACGGCAGTTTCCTATAAATGCTACTATCCACTTTGTTTCCGTTCGATTTTGCAATCTAAATCAGCTAATTCATCCATTTCATTTTCTGACCCCAAAATGAACTCGATTCTATTTACTAGTGAGTTTATACTGTTGTGAAGTCATAGATATGTTTCAATTTCAACACAAAATGTTTCATCCGCATGTCACAGTCATGCTTTAGGAGTGGGACTAAATGTCATTGCTTTGCCTTACCTTCCTAAATATCCATAAATACATCTGCTAGTATAGCGGATATTAGAGATCCCACTGGAGCCCCAATTGTTCACCTGAATGTTTTATCTTGAAATTTAAAGACTGTAGAAGTCAGACCTAACTAAATACCCAACATTATCCCGTCAAATAATCCACTTCTGTGTGTGAATTTATAACCGATATTTAGGTCGTTCCCAACCACTTCTAGAGCCTCGTTGATCGGAATATCAGTGTATACGCTTGTTATGTCAAAACTAATCATGTTTCCATCCTTTTCTATTTGAAATTCCTTTAGCTTTCGTTAAATTTTATATGCACTAATTAGCCCAAAACCTGAAAGATTTCTAATAGCACATAATATTGCTGCTAAATTTTTAGACATCTCATACATTGCGGTGTTCCTGAAGTTACCTATCGGTCTAATGGGGTATCTTGCCTTATGGACTTTGTCGGTACCGTACATTCTATTGGGATTATCAGTTTTAGGCACTAAGTTAAGCCAGTTATTATTAATGTATCACTGTGAGTTATATATCAAACAAATATCTAATATGGAAGTCAATTTTAGTTAGGCTTATGTGTTGTTCCTCATTTAATATGTTAAAATATTACTGGAGTTTCGAAAAAAGATAATTTAGGTAAAGTTGGTTTTGATCCTAACTCAGTAATGTGAAAAATATCCCCCCTACACATTATCATTAGAAGGTAGAAAAGATCAGTAGATCTCATTATTTCTAACCTTTATGATATAAAATTCCTTGAAATGAAGACACAGGGATCGAGTATCTCGTCTTGTGTATACAGTCATTTGTATTATTGAGTGATCAGTGAGTGTATTTGAAACAAAAAGAAACAACCTTGAGGAGAGATTTGCACCAGTAACCTCCAGGTTATGTTTGCTATAACAAAAATGCACATGTACTCGTTTGTTCTTATTGAGAAGTATTACTAAAAGGAAGACAGTTTATTTGTTAATTTAAGCACTTGAGAGAATTAAAAAGTACCTTATTCTTTGTTAGCTGTTATTTACCTTCATAGCAGACTTTTAGCTTACATTTATGTACACCGCACTTACGAAATTGTCCAAGTACAATAATTTATTGAGGCGGTTTAGTTATCGGATGCACAGGTCAAGCATAATCTATGTAACTGAAGGAGATGAAATATTACACATGAAAGAATTGAGTGTGCTGCCTTGGAATTGCATTTTAAAGCATCGCTTTCATGGAGGCTGGACTCCACTGTTATTTGATTTATAAAAACGTGAATGGCATTCGAGACTTGATCGCGTAGCACATGACTTAATAGGGATAAATATCTGTAAAGTGTTTATTGAGTTATAATACCACATATTGCAGTTTAGTTGTTGGAAAATATTTATAACTCAGGACTTGAATGTTTAGGTCAAAATTTTGACTGGAGAAGGTTCCAGTGTCATGTTAAACAACCTAATCAGCACATATTCACAGGAAATCGAAACTGTTTGAGTGCGTATGGATATTTAAAAAAATACTGTTCTACTTGATTTCAATCTTCCTGAATTTTCTGAAGGTAAGGTGATCGGAAACGCACTTGTGAATTATTTAAAGTAGAAAGATTCATAAATCAGATTCGATTTACAGTCATTCATGACTACAAAACCACCTATGAAGCTGGATCCAAATTAAATAGAATATTAATACTGTTTGGTGACAGGTAGTTTGCTTATAATTCCTGTGGACTTTATACGTGCCTGTACGCATCAACTGTTTGGCTTTAGGAGGTTGAAGGCAGGCTAGAACTTTGTCTAGGGTAGGAGGCTATGAACCTAGATTTCGTGCTTGATGGCACTTGTCAGCGAGACGAATCTACAACCTCGAAGGAAATGATGTTCTGTCTGGAGTTCAAATTCCTGTCAACCAGTTCTGCAGTCAGAGACGTTACTACTCAGCTTTTGACGATCACCATAAACATGCTGTAGGACTAGAATGAATTCACTGACTGGCTACATCCTAGTGACGGAACAATACATACATATATGTAAATGCAACTCCTTCCTAAATATACAACAGCTTAGGCACTTAAGAATTTAAAACATATAAGGGCTTGTTAGTTGCTTTTGTTTTACAAATATCACCAAGTAATTATTCATACTATCTATCAAAATTACCACACAATTAGGTAGAATGGAGGTAATCAACAGCGATAAATTAGTTTTTGGGCGTATTAGAAGTGGAATATCTGAAATTTTACACTGTAGCAAAGCATGTTGAAGCTGATTGAGCTGAATGGATTATTTCGGACATGTTTTCAATACCAGAACATTTGTATTTAATGTGTAAGAACTTGTTCATTTGAGTGGAATGAGATATTTTTTGAAAAGTTTTGTGTATCACATCATTACAATAATAAAGATAGAGAGAGCAGAATGACACGCCTTTATTGTTTATACAAAACAGTCTCATTCTCACTGGACACTGAACAGTGGGGAAGTTGAAGCTGTACTTCACTTATTATTTGTTGAGTAAATAAATAATTAGTAAATGTTGGAAGTGCACTTTTCCTGCACATTATTTGTAGGGCAAAAAGGGCATTTGTCGCGAACTTGTTGTTGTTTTTTTCAAAGTTTTAATTTACCCAAAAAGTTAGCTTTATATACAACTTGCGGGGCTAAATACTGATGATTATCTTTATTCTTAATAAAGAATACAGACTTTTTGTTATGTCTGATGGATGGTATAGTTAACGTAATTCTTTGTCCAAGCTTAGCACTGTGATATTTCGATGATATCAAAAGCCATAACGCACAAACTTGAAACCTATATATTTGTTACCATAAAGGTTAGGTGTATATTATTTCTGAAGTGAAGATATGACTGACTGTCATCGGGGATTCGAATCTCACTCCGCCTATTTTAGCCCGGGCAATTAAATATTATCTTCAGCTCTTTCGCAATGAATGTGCCTTACAGCCTTGTACATAAAAAAATTCGTTCCGTGTAACTAATGCATAATAATTCTTAACATATTATTATGAATACTTGAATTTGTTTTAATTACTCACATTTAGAGGTATGAAATCAAGGTTGTAATAGGAGTAAACCAGGCACTAAGTGGAATGCATTTCAGTTCATCTAAGTAGTTTTTGACAAGATAAGTGGAGACTGACCATAAAGTAAATTTCATGAAATTTGCTACTAAATGTACGTTCAACAAGTACAAGTACTCTTCATACATGATCTCAAGTTGTAGTATTACATCAGTGTGTATAAATTCGTGAATATCAATGAGATGCTCACTGGCAACTGGCACTATTCAGGTAGGTAGTTACCTGCGGTCCCAGTGGGAAGTATTGACCAGTTGGGTGCAGCAGGTCGGGTGTGAGGACAAATACTCGCCGAAGACATTGGCTAGCGGTTGCGCTATATCGTGAATTGGCAGAAGTTAGAATTTATGGACTGGCCATTGGATAGGGTCCCAGCGGCTTAATGGTATACGAGCTCGCCTTGTAACCAGAAGGTCCTGGGTTCGAATGGTGGCGGTGGGTGCGTACTGATGAAGAGTCCCAAACTAAGACGAAGCAGCTGTCCAGTGCTCCTAGCTGGTTTTCCAATGGTTCTCTAACCAATGTCAGCTCATGATGAAATCCTGTAACCAAATTTGTGAGAATGAAGTTACAAAGATGATCCAAACTGCGATTGTTTGGGCTGTAGATTAATTTGAACCTATCAACCAGGTGTTACCATATTAAGTCAAACGGTATTACAATGAACTTTGTTTGAAATCCGGTATTATGAGGAATCAAGCGGTACAAGTTTCTCTGCTTGTCGGTATATATATCATCGGCTCAAACATAGCCTTGGAAAAATACGTATTCCCTCTTAAATTCGAGTCGGTGTTACTTATTCCAGGTGTATGGGGTTTAACCCAAAGAATATAAGTGATCATGCGTAAGTATAGGCTATGTAAGTGGATTGATTGCAGTATTGTAATCATTTTGCATCATTTTTCCTAGGTGGTTACTAAGTTTGACTGTAATGTATGTTATTTTCTTCATCTAAGTGTGCGTCGGTGGCATAGCGGTTAGGATGCTCACCAACCATGCACATGGTCCAGGGTTCGATCCCCGGCCGACGCACTCCTTTACCTCGCTAAGCCAGAAATAATGCTGGTGAAGAGGAAAGGTTGGGCATGAGGCTAGCAACCCCATCCTGTAAAATAAACACTGCTACAGAAACTTCAAGCCACTAGCGTGAAGCCCTATGTTCCAGTGAGGAACGTGAAGGAAAAAAAGGGTAACATTTTGTGCTCACCAACACACAGGAAATAAAATATTATTTCATTTTCTAACAAACAACTATGATGTTTTATGTGTTTTACTGTCTTTCGATTAAAAAAAAACAAAATAACAAACACCTTCAACATTTCTATTATTTTATTCCTTTCATTGAATAGAATAATGTCATTTATACAAGAGGATACTTTATCAGGAAGTATTCAATCGTTTCTTAACTTGGATAATGAAAAACGTCATATGTAACAGTGACAGCTGTAAGCCGAGTAACAACTGATGATCTGTAGTTGTTGTTTTCAAAATCAGGTAAGCTAAATAAGAGTAAATCAACGTGTTTGTGTATGTTTATGTGTGTGTTTGTGCGTGAGTGCTTATCTTCACCATAACTAATTAAGTGCTTAATACACAGATTTTAAGATTCTACAAGAGAGTGTTAAATCATTATCTTAATGTCTAAACTAGTTTTAGGAATTATGAAATTACTTTTGATAGAAATATGAGCACTAAACTATTTTCTAGACGATAGTTTGGTTATTGCATAGTATGTCAAAGAAATGAAGCAATAAGCAGTTGTATGATATTACAGTGCCTTATTTCTACTCATATGACAGCAATAGAGTAAACTACATTTGCAAGACACAATTATTTCACTTGATAAGATTAGACGGTAGTCAGCATCCAGGCCTGTGTCTGGGTAGGTCAACCTTGACTCCATTAGACAAGGAACCACAGTGTTTGGAAGTACCATTTCAACTTCACCAATTACTAACTCTTTCTGCATAAGCAGAAATTTTAGAATTTGTACTCTGTAGATTCGATTATATTCTTAATGCACATTATCAGGTTACTGATAGTTACTGTATTGGTTAAAATACACGTTTTACGTGATTTATCATGTAATAACGATTTTAATAATAATAACAGTAATAATCATATCTTGTATTTTCGTGTATCGAAACGTCCATGAGATTCGGTGTACGGTCTGATAGGATTAGTTGAGGTGAGGTGTAAATGCTAGAGTCACTTTTTGGCAGCTGGCAGTTTCAGCTTATGTGCCTCCATTGAGCTGTGAAAAATTGGAAGAGGATGTCCTGTGTTATAGCTTTAAAAATGTTTCCTGACTTTTATTCAAAAGTGTAATAATATAGTTAACATGTAGTTTCATTGTTTAACGTTGACTGCTCCGTCATTTCGGCGGGGGAAAACACTCTTTATTACTTCACTGTAGGTGTAGCCAGAAGACGGACTAAAGTTTTGAAGTGAAGCTATTTTGGTGTTTTTGTATTCAGTCAACTAGATGGTTTAGTTGAGAAGTACTAAAGTTATTCTAAAGTATTTTGTCGACCAAGGCAATGAAACTATTTAGTTCATGAAACACAAAAGCTACAGATCTTCTTCATCATTCCAGGAGCTTACATCAGTTATTTCCGTGAAACAGAAGTTGATTTATACGGTCTGTTTATCACTGTCACCAAATCAGTATCTACCCACTGACACTCTAATCTAGTGGGGACTCCATCATTCACTTAGAATAAAGGGTAATCCAGCTGATGAGTCTAAAATGTGTCAAAATTCATATGCTGCATTTCACTGCTGATTGACACCAGCCAAGTAAAATATTAGAATGGCAACATTCAACAGAATATTTTATTTTTTTGAAAATCAAGTGCTAGATTCGACTTTGTATAGGAACATTACCACTTTCTTTAGAATAGAAGTCTATTCAGCCAATTGTCTTAAATAAGAATAAATATGAACCATAAAAATAAACAGTGTCTAAGTTGAAACTGTAGAAATTAATTTTGTATCAATTCAGAGTAAACTGATTCGGCTAAATTAGAGATATTACTTAAGTTCTACAGAATATACAAATAGGTTTGAAATTACAGGCACAAACTTAGTCACAGGACACTGATTCATACCTTCCACTGGTACGGCTTTGTTTGTTCTACTTGTGTTCATAACAAACATGTAAAACGTTTGCTTGTAATTTATTTTGGTGGTTGGGTGTAATTTATTATCGGAGATATTTGTTTGGTGTCTTAAGTTATTGTGTACTGGTGTGTGTGTATGTGTGTGTTACAAAAGATGAATAATGTATTTGATAAATTCGGTGACTTTCATGTTTATTTGAAGGGATTTGATTCATTTCCAGCTGGATTTCATCCCAAATCGACCTCAGTTGGGGAAACACTGAAAACATGGGAGCAATTGAACAGCTGTTTGATTCTTGTTTCAGTGTGTACCACTTCACAGTCCCAAAAGAAGGAGGAAACGACAGTCCAACACCCCATGGTTTTCAGTGATCATCCATCTAACTGACTTTGGTTTGTGACGAAATCTTATTCGGAAGTCAGTGATGCTTGACATGTTTAATGGAGATTATTTAAAATTGTATCGTCTTTGTCTTTTTTTTATTATATAGAATGCTAATTCTGAACCTTCAGCAAATCCAGTTGATGAAAATGTTGAAGACGGTGACATATTACAAGAGATTGGAAATGCTCAGTACACTTTAGATTTTCTACGTCAAGTTGTTCAGCGGTCTACAATGTAAGTTGAACTTAAGTAGTATTGCAAATACGTGTTGTGATTATCATTATTATGATATTTGTCATCACCCTTTGATATTTCTTGACTGAAGTGATCCACCACATTCGGCAGGTGAGTTCAGTGAACGGATGATGTCTTCATATTACCATGGTGTTTAACGATGAAGTATCCTCTGTTCAAGTTTCACTCACAAAGGATACATGTAATGCCAGCTTCACGATTCGAAATAACACGAAATATGCACCTTGGATTCTACCGTTAGCCAGCCGTAAACAGACAACACGTCATCTATATGTACGAGTAATTAAAGTTGATTCGTTCTGCTAACAAACAAGTCTTTGTTATCAGGGTTAATAATCAATTTCCAAGTTATAATCTATGGACATCTAACTACTTTCAGAGAATTCTCAAGTAAATTCTTTGTGCTCATACATTCATGAACAAGAAATGTATAAGTGATTGTTAGGTCTTTATAAAAATCTATTTCTACTTGTGTATGCATAATTTTTCTCTGTCGATACAGAGTTTCATCATTTAACAAAACAGATTTGTTTATAGAAAACTCTATTTCCATCTGTCCCATTGGATTCAGCCATTGACTTTTAGGCAGAGCGTCCAGGGTTTGAATCTCTTAGCTTGGGCAACTGGTTAATATCGTCAAACCTTCCACAATACAAGCAGTTTAGAGTGTGATGCATAAAAATTCCGTACTGGTTAATTACGTTCTAAATATTTTCATCGATTCCGCACATTATCAGTGAATATGACATTATGCGTTGTTGCACATGAAGCATAGATGAATTATGATAAATACATAAACATTGTTTATTCCTTCAAGATAAAAATATGGTAACACTTCAGAGATTTACATTTTTATCAAAAGTTTGTTTTCTACGGTGCTGCTTTGTTTCAAACAATGGATTTAGAGAGGAAAGTGATATGTACAAAATAGAATTTAAAGTATTTCTTATTCAGATGAGTATACAACATTCATACCAGTAAAGCATAATTTAAAACCAATATTTTCTTTTCCTTTTCTTGTAATACCTTACTTTTTATTCCCTGTGTTCCAAGTGAAACAGACAGCTTCAAGCTTTCAGAGTTTCAGCAGTGGTTGTGTTAGTTTTATACCTGGTAGGGTTGCTAGCCTTAAACCAAATCTCCCCTTCTTTACCGCCGGTTACACAGGTTTTCTTGAGTGCGTCAACTTGCATTCGAACCTAGACCTCACTTGTGGTTAACCAGCATTCTAACAATGAACCACCTATGCACTCCTTCTGTTGCCATAGTAAATTTTGATTTCACTAGTCGATAAAACAGCAAACACCTGTGAGTGTTCAAGTATTGGTTTGTAGGGATTTGATTGATTGGTTACAGGATTTCATCATGAGCTGACATCGGTTAAAGGACCATTTGAAAGTCAGAAAGAAGTACTGGGCAGCTGTCTCGTCAGCCTACTTTGCGATTCTTCATCAGAACGCATCCACCACCAGGGTTCGAACCCAGGACCTTCTTGTTACATTGGCTAGCGGCCGCGCTATGTCATGAATTAGCAGAAGTTAGAATTCGTAGGCCATTGGATCGAATACAAGTGGCTTAATGGTCTATTAGCTCGCCTTGTAACTATAAGGTCCTGGGTAGGGACCCCGGTGGGTACGTACTGTGAACAGTCTCAAACCAGGCTGACGAAACAGCTGTCCAGTACTCCTTGCTGGTTTTCCAATGGTTCTCTAACCGATGTCAGCTCATGATGAAATCCTGTAACCTGTTAGTGTATTTATTTAGCTTATAAATACCTTATACAATAGAATAAGTTATTACTAATCTTTAACTGTTTATCAAAGGACTATTTTAATATTTATTTTCACATTCCTTCGTTGAATTGTGTTTCAATTTTTATACAAAGAAAAAGAAGGAATTTTTTGAAAAGAAAAGGCATAAAAAATTCTGCTGTCCATCAGATAAGAGAAGCAATTAATATTTTCATTATTATCTGTCTTGAAATCTTAACATAATTGATGTTTTCGAAAAGTGAGAACAGAAAACTCATCAATCAACAGATATGTATTACTTACTGATGAGAACATTCATCACAATCTTTTGTAGTTTTCTGTTTTATGTTAAGCTGAACTATTTACTCGTATTTCTTTTTACTTGTTATGTGTCATGCTTGTCAACAATGTGGTTGAACTGATTCACTTTAGAACTGGATAAGAGACCAAATTGTCATTTAATTTGAATAGTGTTCTGCAAATTATGCCTTAAATACAAGCTTTATAACATGACAGATGGAGTTGAAGAAGTCCTGATTTATGGTTGCGTTCTAGTGATCTTTGGTGAAAAGTTTTTTGGCACAGATACACGTAGATACATTCCACTAGGAGAAGTGTATGTGTACAGCATACTATCTGTAATAAATTAGCAGTAAAAGCTCTTACTGTCCATTCAGTCTGTCCCATAAATAACTGCAAAAGCTGGATGCTTAGAAATGCCACTTTTATGATTTAAGAAAGGTTACAGGTTTAAATACTGAACCTCATGTTATCAGGCGCTCATGACAAATTTTATCTTTTCAACATCTTCACTTAGTTTCTACTTTTAGTCTTGAATGTTTTTTTTAGAAAAAAGAATAAAGTTTCCTATTATTCTGAGAGAAATAACTTGAACCTCGGGTAGATTATCTTTATTTTTCCATCACGCTTTCCGATCATCTAGTGGTGACTGAACGACTAGTTCTACAATTGTATTTATTGTTGGGATAGGAATTATTTTGAGTTTGATCTTGAATTGATATCAGATAGAGAACCATTGAAAACCTTCAAGGAGTACCGGACATCTGCTTCGTCCTAGTTTTCGGGAATCATCGGCAGTACGCACCCACCACCAGGGTTCGAAATCAGGACGCTTTCGTTACAAGGCAAGCTCGTTTACCGTTCAGTCACTGGGACTCGTATCATTGACCAGCCCATGAATTCTAACTTCTACCAATCCATGATGCATTTAGCGCGACCAGCAACCAATGTCATCGGTGGGACATCCATCCTCACACTTGACTGGATGGACCTCACTGGTCATGACTTCTCACTAGAACTCCAGGAAACTCCGTCCTGTATCAGGTCATTAGTGAGCATCAGATTAATTTTCAAGTATTACCTTCTGCCTGTGAAGGTTAGTAGTTCAGTGCTAGAATGCTCACCAACGAACCACAAGGGGGCTCCGATTTCTAGCCGATACATTCCTTTATATAGCCTATCCGGTAGTAAAGGACAGAAAGTCGAGCTTGGAGCTAGAAACTGAACTGGGTGTAGAAATAACACCACCGCTACTGAAAGTTCGAAAGCTTTGAGCTCTGTGTCCCTTTCAGAATGTGAGGAGTTAAAAAGAGATCATCTGTTCATCCGATGACCAATGCCTTTTAGATGAATCAACTGTGTGTAGCTTTTTGTTTTATACCACAAATCTTGTTCCATGTGAATAAAGAAAATAGTTTTATCCTTTATTTTTAAAGTGGTTTTTCATAATACATATAATTTTTAGTACTATTTAAACATTAGTCAGGAAAGGTACTGTTAATCCCAAAGGAGAACTTTATCTACTAAGTGTGACTTTAGGTAAAACAACCCTGTAGAAATCAAAGTCTTGCCAATAAAGATTCCTTAAATAATGGAGTAATTCTTTGCTGATAATTTAACTCATAAACTGTCGTTCTCAGCTAAAAATAGGCATTATAAATATTGATAATCACTGTGAATTCTCTCACATTTCTAGTTTTTTGTAATGCAATGCATTGTTTGTTCAGTTACACAAATGAAACATTGATCGCATTACAGTGGAAGCATATTATTTATCTGAGAAAGAGATAAACACACAGAGAACTAGAGCTAGAGCTAGAGAGAGAGAGAGTAAGAAGTGTTACCCTTATTATACAACAACCTTCTTCTATTAAGCAATCGATCACCTTGATAAATAAATATGCTTTATCTGCTGCTATATGATTTCACAAATTACTATGTATGTGCTGAATGATGATTATTTTAGTATGTCACATTTTTATCTTATTGAAAATTCTTAACTAAGTATAGAAGGAAGTGTTTAGAGAGGATTTTTATCATTGGCTCTGAAGAAGACCTTATCAAAAGATTGCATTTACCATTGTTTATAATTTAGTTGCGTTTAATTAAATATGCTTAACTTCAATGTATTTCTTATCGTAAATTACTATAAGCTTAGAAAGGGTTAAAAATTACGAAATGTAAGATAGCTATTTCCTTCTATTTCAAAAGTGTGATGGACACGTAAAACCTCATTGATAAGCAAAGTATTAATTACTATTGAAGCGTCGGTCTGCAGAGATCTGATTTGATTGGTTACAGGATTTCATCATGAGCTGACATTGGTTAGAGAACCATTGGAAAATCAGCAGGGAGTACTGGACAGCTGTTTTGTCAGCATGGTTTGAGACTTTTCACAGTACGCACCCACTGGGGTTCCGACCCAGGACCTTCCAGTTACAAGGCGAGCTCATAGACCATTAAGCCACTTGGATTCGATCCAATGGCAAGTCTATGAATTTCAACTTCTGCCAGTTTATGATAGAATGCGATCACTAGAAAATGTCATCGCTGGCGGGTATTTGTCGTCACCCCTGACCCGCGGTACCCCACTGGTTATGACAGCAGGTCAGCTGTTAGCTCATGATGAAATCCTATTATCAACCAAATTGTTACTGTTTAATTTTAAAAATAGCGCGTTATTATTTAACTACTTGGAAAGAATTAGATGGCTTATGTTTCACAGTTTATTGTATTCGGGATTTAATATGATAATGTTTTAGTTTCTTAAGCGAATGAATGACCGCTTGCCTAACTTGGTTGTCCTCATTGGTCAATTTATTTGATGGTTCCGAACTTGGACTTGAACAGAGTAACGTATGCACACCAAACCCTTGATATTTACTTAGCTAAGCATAAGTCACAACAGATGGCTTTCCACAAATCACC